AAGTGAGTCTTATGTCAAATTCAAATGTTCATATTAATGCGAGTAAAGTAAGAGACAACCGTATAAACTTCACCTACCTATATCGTTAGCAAAGGCAACTAACGGGGTGAAACCTATCAAATACAGTAAAAATTAAATTTTGCGCGAATGCGAATAAACGTTCATTTGACGTGAATGCGAATAAATGTTCATTTTCAGTTTACCGCCATATCGTGGATGCACGAATATATCATCTTTAGTTATAACTACTTTAGATAACGGCTCTTCCAAGTTTAACGTGCCGAATCTCAATAAAACTTCAGTAGCGTTTTCGACTGAGGTCTTTACGCAGTGCGCTAAAATTGAAAGAGTCAATTTGATTTGATGTTACTTTACTACACAACTAATACACTATTACGTGTCATTTACCTGCGGTCAAAATTTTCCAAGGGGAAACGATTATTGCGACACATTTTTTAGAATGAGTATCATTTACAGGCATTTCTAATCCGACAACAAAATTATAATCTTCAATTTTATCGACCAGGTTGCCCTCAACAATTTGAGCAAAAACTAGAGAATATTTGGATGAAAGGTTAAACACATATAATAACAAGAACCAGTATGACCCACATCTCTTCTCTTTCTGTATTCACTGTTTTTAAGTACCTCTTCCATGAAATTCCTGTAAAGCAAATTAAAATATTCCAATATTTCTTCGTTTTTGTGAAAACAAATTTTTTAGAAATAAAGAAAAGAAAAAAGAAATTTTTAAGCTCGTCTTCACTTACAGTGTATTCAAACAGGGCAATTGTGGCGAAAAACGCGTAAAATAAACTCATATTTAAAATGTAAATTTGTAACATTTAAAAACTTTGCAATGCGATCGGTGTTCGTTATTAATAAAGATCTTAGCTACACAAACGCTTGATACTGACTAACAGATGTTCTCATACATCTTACTTAGTGTATGAATGCTTTGAAGTTGATTAAATTATTGTAAGTCTGACATAAATTGAAAGAAAAATTGTATTTAGGTATAAGAATTTGAAAAAAATGGTTATACATTTGAAAAATAGCTCAGTGACGTAAGCGGCCGGGCAAACGCACGGAAAAGTTAAGTACACATGAGAAAAAAATTACATTTTGACAAAAAAAAACATTTTGTTGCTACCTTCTTCATACGTCCCCAGCAGGGGTTCGAGGGGTCCGATTACCCCCTGGCAAAGTGTTACCCCTTGAAAATTTTCAAAGAATTCTTTCAATTTGCTGGGGATTTTGTCCAAAAAAGTGAGGACCTTTTTTTTGTTTTTTTGCTATTCAGTTTTGGCATGTACGAAAATTCTTTCAATTTGCTAGGGATTTTCGCCAAAAAAGTGAAGAGCAAAAAAAAAACGAAAAAAGTACACTTTTCGCAAAATACACTTCACTTTTTTGCTTACCCCTCTCGATTTTTTTCAATTAACCCTCTTTAAATTTTTCCCTCGAGGACGTATGAACTTCTTGGAATTTTGTATTTTGGAATAAGCAAATGAATTTGCACAGGCTTCATTTTTTTCGCTATTAAACATTTTATTTTACTTCGTTTTCATTTATTCAAACAAATGCTTAAATTATATTGAACATAAACTAGTTAGTGTATAAAATGAATACAGCAATATTATTCCCTATCTCCCCTTCAGATTTTCAATGAAGCGACGATAGATATTAGATATGGTTGATGAATATTTAATACCTAATACAGGCGATGGATTATTTTTGTAAATGCATTAGATTAGATGTGTTTAACTCAGTTTAATAAACACACTGCATACACATTATTCAGCTTAGTAAATGCATTAAATGTGCGTTGCATTTAAATGCCGGCTATGCAAACACATTTTTTTCTATTGCCTTTTTCTTCCTTCCTCCGTGTGAGAAACCATTCATTTGGAACCTTTTAACAAATAAACGTAAATGATAATATAGAAAACAACTACTGCAGAAAGAGCATCTGATATGCATCGTCCAATTTAGTAAAAGCGTAGCTTCCACCTTGTTAAAAGACTCTAAATATTGTAATTTGGCCGCTCAACAACAATTCGATTGTTCAACTCTATTTCAACAAATATTGACCGATACCGGACTCTGTTATACTTTTAATCAAATGAGTTCCCATGAAATTTATAACGTTGATTTGTTGGCTGATGATTTTCCCAAAGTTGATGAATTTACACTGTCCTATTGGCATCTGAAAGATTTTACCGTTAACGGAACATTGGAAATGCGTAACTTATCGTATCCATATCGAATGCGAAATGCTGGCAAAGGTTTGGAATTGAGTATGTTAGTGCCGAAAACGGAAAATGATTTTTTATGCAGTGAATTGCTTCAAGGTTTTAAAGTGCAAATCCACTCGGCTGATGAAGTGCCACGATTGAAAAAGCATTTTTATCACATTCCATTTGATCACGATGTACGCATCACAATTAATCCAAATTTAATGATGACATCACCAAGCTTGATCAAAAATTACAGCCAAAAACAACGGAAGTGCATCGCCGAAAATGAACACAATCTCAGCTTTTTCAAAAAATATACGCAACGCAATTGTCATTTGGATATTTTGGCCATTGAAACGAATCAAATTTGTGGCTGCGTCTTGTTTTGGATGCCACGATTCAATAGCACAAAGGTAGAGAAAAAATATTATAATTTCATTTAGTAATTTTTTTGGACTATTTCCTTATATTTTTACTAGGTGTGTAGTTTTTACCAACAATTCAAATGCGTCGAGCACGTCGAAAATTCATTGTACAATGCAAATTTAACATCAAAATGCTTACCAGTCTGCGACTCAATAACCTATGATGCCGAAATCTCAATATCGAAAATTGAATTGAAAGCTTTGAGCAAATTTGTTCCAGAAGGTTTTAAAATCATAAAAATGAGCGTTTTGTTCAAGGATCAACAGTATTTTGGGTCGCTTCGTTCTGAATTATATGGGACATTGGACTTCTTGGCCGCGTGCGGAGGTATCCTGAGCTTATTTATGGGCATTTCGCTTCTTAGCTTCATCGAAATTATGTACTTTGCCACTTTGCGACTCACTTGCAATTTGCACAAACGAAATTTGGCCAAGAAACGAATGGTGGCCCAACAAAATATTTTAAATAATCAAATTGATTGAATTACATACAGTTTTGAAACTTCTTTTCTAAGATATCATTTTGAGTTAGAATATTATTTATTTGTGGTCTAATTTGATAAAGAAATTATGCACACGAATATTAAACTTAAAATTTAACGTTTGCTTAAAGTAAGTGAAGTATTTCGTTGTGATGCCATTTTTAAAATGAACTTTTAAAATCATTTCATGTTATTCTATTTGATACAAAATAGAAAAAAATAAAGCTAGAAAAATCTGTGAGTAAAAGCATTTTTACTTTAATTTCGCAGAACCGCAAATCCGATGGATAAATTATGAGAATAAAGTGGCCTCCATAAAAAAATTAAACCGTAAACGAGTGGTAATGTTGAAATAGCCAAGTAAATTTGCGATGGAAATGTAGATTTAAGAACCGCCAACCACAAACTACTGCCAAATGCGAAACATTTACTATGCTGACGACAAAAAAATATTGTTATTCAAATGTGTTCTTTTTTGCTCGTCGAGTTTTGTCATTTTTATTGCAATAAAATTCGTGAAAAAGTAAATGTAGTGGGTTTGTAGATCATTTTTTGGTGTTGAGCTTTTTTCACGTTAAATTTTTTTTATTTCAGCTGTGGAATATATAACTTAACATTTATAAAAATGTGCTTATTCAAATGGTGTCCAAACTGATTAGTGTGTTTCTGCAATATAGCTGCTAGTAATATATGGGCTCTTGAGTTTATGAACGCAAAGGAATAACAGTCATATATTTTTCTCGATTGCTTACTGGGGAAAACAGTATTCACACACATGCATGGAAAGAGAGAGAAAGAGAGAGAGATAAAGATATTTCTTTGTGTTGTATATATTACAAAGTTGTCGCATTTCATTTCGAACTTACAGTTTTTACTAATTATCCGGCCATTTGCTAAAAGCTGTTTTATTTATGGTGATTTTTCCTTGCTCTATTTTTATAAAATAATTTTTTTGTCGCTTTAGTCTCTGATCGGTTTACCTCCGACCATTTTTTTCTGTTCACATTTGGTTATGCATGTATGGTGCTCATTCATTATCCACTTCTGTATGTTTTCAGTTACACACATTCTCAATTTGAATATTACAATTGCTGCTTCTGGCGTAACCGTATACTCCATTCCACTTGTTTGTGGCTGATATTTTTTTTTTGCTTTCATTCTTCTTAACACATGCACAATTGTTCAATGACTCTCTCTGGATCGCCATTCCAAATGACTGATAAAACGAACATGCGAAATTTTTTGATCGGTATTGTATAATCAAATAAAAAACCTCTATCGAGTTAGAGAACGAGTGACGAAACCTACATTTGAAACACAAAATTTCTGATATCAATTTTGTGACGAAAATAGTTGGTAGATATTTTTTCTTTGTACTGTGAATATAAACTTAATATACATTTGTATATTCAAAACGCCTAAAATCGGTGAAATTTTCAAAAAAATCCTTGAGCTTGTTTTCGAGGTAATGGACGTTATGTGTCCAGCCGAACGGTACATTTTTGGTTTTTGGCCAATTTAGTCACCCCACATTGAAATTTTTGGACCGCAAATGACTCCATTCGATAGCTCACTTCAAGACCTTTCCAATGATATGCATATGTCTGGGGGGTGTCAAGTCATGGCGCTTCGGTGACCATAGGGAAAAAA